GCGGTTCTCTACATCCGTCCTCCACGCGCCCCGCACAACTGTGGACGAAGATGTCGTCAAAGTATGTCTATGCATACGCCCGGTTGGGCCTGTACAACTGCGTCACAAGACGATCAAATGTTGCTGGTGCATTTGATAGCCTTTGGAGCATCGCCAGCCACTCCCAAAGCATGCCGCTCGGAAAACTCACCGCTGTCAGCGGAATATCACTCGCTCTCATGTGCAGTTGGTAATGCCCATCGACCAAGTCGAGTGCACTGTACTTTCACAGCCAATCATATTGTTCTGGCGAAAAACCTCTCTAAGAATCGGCATCTGTGCCGAGATAGTGGTAGCGTTTAGTTTTTTGTAAGCGAGAGCAATACGCCACTTGTCATTCCGCTTCCGGACACAAAACGTGGGTGTCGGATGGGTAGACTTGCTCCCCTCACCATTCCAGCGTCATGGTTCGCACGGAAGAAGGCGTCAGTGATGTCATACTGCTCCTTGGACTGGGGCCATTGGTTTGTTACGCAGTATTTGGTTCACGGAACATGGTCGAAACTATGATGAACACGTTGGTCCGAAAGTAGGACTGAGGGCGGATCTTTGGATACGATGTCTTAAAACTCCTTTTACAAAGGAAAGTACGAATCCGAGGAATCGTTTAGAATCGAAGACCCATTTCGTGCGTTAACCACCCTCTTGGTGTCCTCCAGGACAGCTTTATCCAGAAGCGACGATGAGTTGATCTCCTCTTCCGGTCGTATACTGACCACTTCAGCTAAGGCGCCTGCCTTCAAGGCACCGCCGAACTTTCGAGGGACATCTCGTCGAGCTCAAGAAGAACATCCTCCGCGGGATTTGCCTTGATAGTGACGTCGCTGTGTTTCTCCCCCGCCATACCGTTAACAAGGGTGTATAGTCGCGCGCTATCGTCTACGGTAGACACATCCTGGGTCACGGTGGATACCCGGTGTCTTACAGCGAGCATACGACGTTGCTTTCGCCTCTTCTCAAAGGTTTTTCGTTTCGGTGAGAGCAGTGTCAACACGCACTCAGCGTCGTCTGGTGTCCTCGCTTTCTGCTTCTCCGGGGCCCTGATGTTATTAACAACATCCGACGAAGAGCAGCTGTTCCCGCAATCTAACGTGCCACTCCACGCGCATCTGATAGGCCTTGCCCACGATGCCTTGGAAGTCGTCCGACCATACCACTCGTGGATTGAAGTGCCTGCTTCGAAGCCGGAGCAGTGCTTAGTGGATTACGTTCAACTCCACGTGCATCACTGGGGACTCAACCCCGATGCCTCGGAACTCGTCCAACCATGCCACTCGTGGCATGCAGAGACTGCTTCGAAACGTGAGCAGTGCTCTGCCACACCACGTGCACCACTTGGACCCTGCCCTTGATGCTTTGAACCTCGTCCGACCTAGCCACTCGTGGCATGCAGCGACTGCTTCGAAACCTGAGCAGCGCTCCGTGTGCTACGTGCCACTCTACGTTCAGCCGCAAGCCATGCTCGGGACACCTGTCCGATACACCTTCGGTTTTCGACATCTCGAATATTACAATGTCCAGCACCTTGACCGTCCCGGTCCAGCCAATAGCGTCTTTGCCTGGTTCACGTGCGCGTAGCGCCCAAGTCTTCGATCTCCAATCGATCCATGACTCATGGTGTTCAAACTATGTCATACTAAGAATTTGGTCAAACCTTGAATCCAAGACGAAGACTAAGCAGCGTTCCATGCTATCAAAATCAAGAAACTTGACACCAAGGTCCACAAGGACCCTCGGCACAGTGACACATATCCCCGTCGTTAATCGAAGAGTGACAATGTCACTTAACCGCGCTTTAGCACCCCAGCACACAGCTCACTTTCAGCCATCGTGGAGCATGGAGTAAAATCACTTGACGCCCCGGATTCGATCTGAATTTTTGTGGCATCTCAACGCCCTTCACGATAGTTATTACGATAAGCAAGCCCAGCTTCCATACACGTTCCGTGTTCAAGACCACGGCGTTCTTCGGAGCTGGTTCCTGCCGACCTCTACCTCTTTAAGGCTCAACAGAGCTCAGTTTCTCCCCAGTAGTACGTCCCGCGTCTACTGGGTACTATCACTCCCCGCGACACCCCAGAAAACTGGAAAGAAGTGAGAGCTCGGTTAGATGAACATCCACGCGCCTTGAGCAGGAGACAACCAGCCGAAAGGTGGCGGGTGTCTCCACATACAACACATCGTCGGGTGTTTGAATGTTGCTCGGCAGCTCGAAACTCCGCCTCCTCGTCTTCAGCATAGCTGAGATCCATCGTATCAGGCCCGTTCGACGAGCTGATAGGGTGTGCATTCCAACCAAGTCGTGCAGAGTTAATGTTGAATTCGGCATTCGATGGCACATTTACTGCTTCTTCGAAAGAAGACGAGTGTACACGAAAGACTTCCATTCTGGCCACGCCAGTGCGGAGGCCCTCCATAAAGACAATCACTATGACCACCTCGGGAAGAGAATCGGCTGCCATACCGGCTTCGCAAGGACCTGAAACGATCAGCCGGCACCTAGAGGCGTTTTCGAGCTATGCAAATGTTCTGCTAGAGCACGTATAGCAGAAGATGTTGGCATCGACAGCGTCGTGACGCCACCGTCGACGACGGACTCCTCCCGACCCAGGCCCCTAATTGTGAGCGTTAACACCTTCGAGAATAAGGAGGGAGAGAATCTCCTGCTCTGGGTAAGAGAGGCCGAGAT